CGTAAGCCAGGTCCTGCAGTCCGGGTTCCCTGTGAATAGGGCCCCCGTAAGCCAGGTCCTGCAGTCCGGGTTCCCTGTGAATTGGGCCCCAGTAGGTCAGGTCCTGCAGTGCAGGTTCCCTGTGAATTTGGCCCCGGTAGGTCAGGTCCTGCAGTGCAGGTTCCATGTCAATTGGGCCCCGGTAAGCCAGGTCCTGCAGTCCGGGTTCCCTGTGAATAGGGCCCCGGTAAGCCAGGTCCTACAGTCCGGGTTCCCTGTGAATTGGGCCCCGGTAAGCCAGGTCTTACAGTCCAGGTTCCCTGTGAATTGGGCCCCAGTAAGCCAGGTCCTACAGTCTGGGTACCCTGTGAATTGGGCCCCAGTAAGCCAGGTCCTACAGTCCAGATTCCCTGTGAATTGGGCCCCGGTAGGCCAGGTCCTGCAGTCCAGGTTCCCTGTGAATTGGGCCCCGGTAAGCCAGGTTCTACAGTCCAGGTTCCCTGTGAATTGGGCCCCGGTAGGCCAGGTCCTGCAGTCCAGGTTCCCTGTGAATTGGGCCCTGGCAGGAAGGATCTGGGCAGGGATCTGTTGAGTGGCCCTGACTGGGATGCCAGAGTAAACGGAGCGCTCCAGGAAGCAATCTCGAAGATGGGCTTGGACTCCAGATTCCACACAGAGTTTAGCTAACCAGCGACAGCTCTCTAAACAAAGAAAGAGAGTGGGGAATGGAGTGAGAGAGGGGGGGGGGGGCATACAGAGTGAGGCAGAGAGAATAAGGAGATAGAGAGAGAGAAAGGAGGGAAAGTCAGAGGAAGAGAGGACAGGGGCAGGCTTTGCCTTTTCTGGTAGTTCTAGCTGTTGAGAGCGCAAGCAGGAATTCTTTGTCCTGCGCCACTCGTGAGATATAAACCAGACGAAAGAGCTCCAAGGGTGTGTGAGGAAAGGGAGCAGTTCATGGACTAAGCATCATCGAACCTAAGGTATGCTGGGGGTTATTTTTCTGCATTTTTTTACAGAATGGGACAATTTATGATGGAAGACCGGCTGTTCTTGGGTGGTCACTCTTGGCTCGCTCTCTACAGTGTTTCTCTTGTGCAGTTAACATCCTGGTCACTCACATCTGCTCTCCTCGTTATTGAACTGTTCTCGTTATCTCAGCTAGTTCATTTTTCAGATCTCTCAGCAGACGAAACAAACAGCGGAAGCACTGTGTGTGGTGCTTCATTTAGAGATATAAGTGCCTTTGGGGCAAACAAGCGTTCCTTTCGCAGTGTTAATGCCAATGTGTTTTTCATTTCACGCTGAACGTTGTTTATTTGTTAGTGAATATGTCAGGTCTTTAGCACCTTATCCCCAAGTCTGCACAAAGAGTACAGTAGGATGCTAAGCCTGAAGAGGTGTTCTAAAAAAGAACTTGCTTCTATTGCAGAATTCCTTTTTCACAAGAATTGTACTCCACTTTAAATTAAGTGCCTTGGTTAATTATTAAGACATCCTGGTCTGGTCACCTCATTGAAAGTCCTTAATTTACTTCTGCTGTCTTGTCTTCCGTATCCATGATAATAACAAGAAGTAACTTTAGGGCTGTTTGTGATGTACTATCAGAATGCAGTTGCTAATGGCAACCCATGCACATTTTCCAGCCCGAACGTGAGTGCTGACCATTTCCGGACCAGTCATGGACGAGGACTTCGAACTCCGACGGGAGCTGAGACGGCAGAAACGAGAGGAGATGCGGCAGGAGGCTGAGAGGTGAGGAGGACTCCCCAAAAACCAGTGAAAAGCTCATCGGCACCCGCACGCCATGCAAGGGTGGGCTTAATTGCCGGGAGCCCATAGGCCATGCTGGCACAAACGTGGTTATTGCTGCTTCACATAAGCTGCTTTGTCCGGTGAGCCCCCACTCCCAGCGTTATATGCTGACGGAGATGGGGGTCGCGCCCTCTTCCACAGGAGGCTTGCAGGAACACAGTGATGCTCTGATTGACAAAGATCAAGGGAGGTGAGGAGCATCAGGATTGGCAAATGACATTTAATGAAATTGAAAAAGGGTACAATAAAAGCGGAAGTCTGTGGGATCGCCATGGTCTCCGTGATTCGCTTTGGTTTCACTTGCAGCATGGTCACGTTGGCTCTGGCTCCTGCAGTAGACCGCTCCCTGAAGGTTTAACATGGCTGGCAAACATGGCTGGCAAAGTGGTGCAATTGAGGGTTCTTGTCTCATTGCATCACTCCTCAAGTTGTGACTCATCACTTGGGACCACCCTGAAGGAATCCTAAGGGAACCCCCCTAATGGGGGACTCCCCAGGGAGGACCTGCCCATGTTAGGTGATGCCGTGATGCTCTGGCCACATGGCCGTCTATGGTGCCGCAAAGGGGCTGGAAAAGCTGGTTCACATGCACAGTGCAGATAGGTCTTCCCTTCATAGGGAAGAGGGACTTTGCTTAGGGCTGGGTTAAGCTGTCTGTGTGGTGGTGGTGGGGGGTATGGGTAGGGTGAAGCCACCTCAGACGTTCAAGTCAGCTTGGCAGAAGCAATGCTGAGAGAGAACAGAATGACATCACCCACTTCGGGGCCTTTGCAGACAGAGCAATTGCTTAAGATTCAAAATTCTTCCCTTTTTAAGTTTATATACATTATTTGCACTTTCTGCCCCCCCACAGTGCTGAAGCTTTGTCTATTGACCATTTTATTGTCTTACCTTACCAATGTCTTACCCCTGAAGTAACCAAAGCAATTTCCTTCATAATCCTTTTGTTGCCTTAGGAATGTCTGGAAACTGTATTTATATGTATAGATTAAGATAAGAAATAGATGTTTTGTGTTGAAATTGCAGTTATAATTTTGCCGTGTGTGTGCCAGCTGTGTAAATCCCACGGCTTTAAAGTCGGCTGAAGAAAAGTGAACGTTTTGTGCCAAACTAGCTGCCGTCTCTCCACCGACACACACATGGCACTCGATCAAGCTGCCTGCAGCCGTTCCAAGCTTGTGCGAGAAAGTCAGCTCTCGTGTTAAAGTGGTGCATTGAACGTGACAGTCTACAAAATTCACTCTTTGTTGTTCAGTTTTACAATAAGCAATAAAATAAACCATTTTTAACTCGTTGACACATTGAAACAACACAGTCAGAAGAGTTTTAATAATCTCCCAGATTCCGAACATGACTGCCAAGCATTAGCTAATGGTACGTTGGAATATGTTTTGAATCATTTTAGATTGCGCGACAGTTGGTGTTTGTGAATTTGTCGTATCACTTATTTTTCCATTGTGGTTCTACATGATCAAAGAGTTGCTTTTCATTGACAGGTCAACTTTTAATTTCTAACTATGTCCAGTAAATGGAAATTTTCATGTTCACAGTGTGGGCCCATTTATCATAAGTATTTTTTTGTAATTACAGACTAGAGACATGCAGAACCTTCCAAACCCCTTGTTGTTGAGAATACTTGCCCCTAGGGTCAGTGTTGCCAGTCTGTGGGTCCATAAATGGATGGGCATGGAGTCAGGCAGGCCGTCGGGCATCTAAGGCAGACGCGCGTGCCAGGTCAGAGAGCGAAGACAGCATCCAGGCGGAGCCTGCATTCGGGTAGCTTTCTGGAGTGGATGACCTTGACAGCTGATGGCTGCTGAAACAGGCTGGCCTTGGAAAGAAATTTCCCCAGCTCTCCGAGAGGTTTAAAGAGTGATTTCTGCCGCTGACAGAAGAGCGGAAGACCCCGCCCACAGCATCGCTGAGGTGTTTTGGGGATGACCTCACCCAGCCGAGCACCATGCAGACTACCGCAGTTATTCACATTAAACAGGGTGTCATTGTCTATGGCCCTGGGGGGAGCCTGGACTCAGCTGTAGGCAAATAGTATTTTAATTCCGAAATAACTACATGCAGTCAGTACAGCCAAGGCATTTTGTAGACTAATTTATTTCCTTAAATTATTTCCTTACCTAAACTTGCATTTGTTTAATTCCTTAAATCCCCTTAATCATTTCCTTGCACAAACTTGCAGCTGGCAGCAACTGAAGTCCTAAGTTTTAAAAATTAAAGACAGCAGGTAAAGAAAGTTCTTTCTTTAGTGAGAAACGCAGAGATCCATGGCAGAATGCAAAGGCTGTAAGTACAGGAGCAGAATCAGATCCATGGCAGAATGCAAAGGCTGGAAGTACAGGAGCAGAATCAGTAAAGCGTGACTCTGGGGAGGAGCCGGGTGGAGCAGAAGGCTGGGCATTAGGATTTTGAGGGGTGCTGCCAGGACCCTCTTGAATCTCGCATGACCATAACCCCATACTTCAGTCTAGCCAATGTCTCCTAGAATTTTGCCCCCACTTCCTGAGAGTCTGACTTGGCCGGCTTGCTGTCCTCTGTGACAGGTCAGAAAAACTTATTTCCATCCCAAATGTTAAGGCAGCAGTGCAGACAGCTTTGGGGAGGGGGGGGTGGGGAATGACCATTTTCCAACTGCTTGGACGACCAGCGCGGTGCGATGACAGGCTGACTTGTCAGAGGGGTTCATAATGGCTGCTCCCTGCTGGGATCCAAAGCGGTTTGCCTGCTGGGATCCAAAGTGGGACGGATTAGCATAGATGGGAACTGTGATATGAAAATCCAGGTTGATAAACCATGTGGGGTGGGCTACTGTATGTGTGTCCGGTTTGCAGAGAAACACTCCATTCAAAATGTCTTCTATTACCCTCTTCCTATGGGTTACATAAGTGCAGAACAGCCCAAATGTCTTTGGTTTTCTTCATGTACTTTCTACTGTTTATTTTCCAAAGGATCAACAGCTCCACACAACCAAAACATCATTTTGAGGAACCCTTTCTGTGATTAGTTCACTCACTCAAACATCAGCATCACGTTAGTTTAGACGATGCCTACGATACACTTCCAAGGCGCACTGCTTGTTAATGATAAAGAAATAGATTTAAGTTCTTCCAGAGGAATGATATTGAGTTCAGATGAAGATCTTTTCAGCATCCAGTAAAGGGCTCCACCACTGATAAATGAAGTGGTTGTTCTTGCAGTGGCCTGATTACCTACTTTTGTAATGAAAGTGGCTCCTAAACAGCAAAACAAAGGCAGTGAATCATGTTTAGGATAATTAGCAATAGAAGCTCCCAGTTTTGTTGTCAAGACAATGTTGAAAACTTAAGGTATTACCTGGTCCTATTTGTCATTTATGTCATTAACATCCATCCAAACATCTTCTTGGTGCTTATCCTGATCAGGGTTATCAGTGCCTTTAGGAATAAGGTTATTTATTTATTTTAAAAGCATTTCAGTTCAGAAACATGGTCTGTG